TTTGAACTTCCTAACAAGAATTATGGGGGAACTCAGTAACAGAGGAACCGCTGCTCACGCCGAGAGACGAGCTGGTCGTGGCGGACGTGGTGACGGACCAGCCGCTGTCGGCCTTGTCAACGCCGCCTTCGCTAACGGAGCTACACATAGTACATCTGCCTCCATACATGGCGGGTCAACATCCTCATTGACGGACTCCGATAGGGCGGCTATTTCTGGGTTGACTGATGCCCAATGGGAGTCTATTGTACACCTCGTCACTTCCGCCCGCAACAATGCTCCTTTCTCTGGTAAGCGTAGTCCTTATGAGTGGATGTATGATAGCGGTGCTTCACTGCCAATGCTTCTCGGGTGTCTACGGTTATGCAACACTTGTGGCACCAGCGGATGGGTCATCCATCTTCTACTGTGCTTGGTCAATTGCCTTTTGTCGAGTCTCCCTCATTGGTCTCGAATAAAGCTTGTGATGTCTGTTGTCGGGCAAAGCAATCTCGTGCTAGCTTTCCTCTTAGTCGCAATATTGGCAGTTCCATTTTCAGTCTGATTCATTGTGATTTGTGGGGACCTTATAGAGTTCCTGCCTTTAGTGATGCTCGATATTTTTTGACTATTGTTGACGACTATTCTCGAGGTACTTGGATTTTCTTATTGGATGACAAATCTTCGATGTCTTCTACTCTACTGCAATTCTTTGCTTTTGTAAAACGGCAATTTGGTGTGTTGGTTAAAACTCTTTGCAGTGACAATGGGACTGAATTTACACGTATGCGCGATTATTTCCGTCAACAAGGGATTGTTCATGAAACTTCTTGTGTCGGAACTCCTCAACAAAATGGACGTGCTGAGCGCAAACATCAACACATTCTTAATGTTGCTCGAGCATTACGCTTTCAGGCCCATTTACCGATTGAGTTCTGGGGACATTGTGTACTTGCTGCTGGGTATTTGATTAATCGAACGCCTACTCCTCTTTTATCGGGCAAGACTCCCTATGAACTTTTGTATGGCGAACCTCCCAACTATGCCCATTTACGTGTTTTAATTATTTACATATTCTACATGTTTTTTTACATTTTTATTCATAATTTATAGTATTTTTTATTTGTATGTATATATATATATATATATATATATATATATATAATGATTTAAAAAAAAAAAAATTGAGGGGGCCCTGGACCTAATGCAGGTCCGTCCCTGCCTCCATTCCTCCAACATTGGGAAATTTTTCGCGAGATCTAACGCGACTCGCGGAGAATGAAAACAATGGAAAATAAACAAAAAGTACCATTGATCAAGAAACAAAACACAACACCTTTTCTTGAAGCACAAAAATTTCATTTTTTTTAACTCCAAAAAAATATGAGTTCAACAAAATAAAATGGTACTAGACAAATTAATAATTTTGAATAATTTTGGGAACAACAATAATAAATGTTTTCAAAATATTTTTATTTAACATAATTAAAAAAAATTAGGTTTATGTTAATGTACTTTTTTTCTTCTCAACAAAGGGATGCACTTGGTGGTGTTGGAAATGATATTTGAAAAGAGGTCACTTTTAATTGAATTTTGGGAAGATGAGTAAATTTTTATTTTTTTTTCACATAACCGCGCGAGCAGAGGAAGAGAGGAACAATGGAGGAGAGAAGAATGGAGATGAAGGCGCGGCGTCCCAAATCTGTCTGCAGTCTTTTTCCCTTTTTTTTCGATAGGTAAATATAAATAAGAATAAAAGTGTACTTTTAACTCCTAAAATGGCTAGATTTCATTATTTTATAAAACATTGCTAAATTTCATTTTTCATTTAAAAAAAGGGCTACAAACCCGAGGCTCTGCCCAAAAGGCAGGTCAAGTACACCTAACTGGTAGTGGCATTTTGATTGCATATTTTACCGTATTTTAAAAAAGTAAATCAAATTCCATTACCTAAATCCTTATGACGTTGTCGTTTCCAATGTTTAAGCCAATTATAGGCATTGGGGTCATTTATTAAAAAATAAAACTTGAAAAATAAGTGGACAAAAAAAAAAAACGAAAAAAAAGGGGTAGACAGCAATAAAAAGCACGTATTTACAGAATACGTTTTCTTAATTTAATTTTTTAGTGAAACACGTATTCCTTGTTTAATTATTTGAAAAACATATTGCCGAAAATTGTATATCCAATTTTATTTGAATACCGTATTTATAAAATACGTTTTCATGAAAACCCCAAATTAATTTAAAACCCTAAAGCCCTAAATTAATTTTAAACCTAAATTAATTTTGGTTTTACAAAACGTATTCCATTAATACGTTTTATAATATTAATTAATTTTTAAGAAAAATTTAAATTAAAATAAAACGTATACATGAAATACGTTTTTTAATATAATAAAAAAATTAAAACGAATTGGCAAAATACGGTTTTCAACAAAATATAAGAACGAAAAATCTTCTCCTCCACCACTCTGCGCGAACAAACAGCTACGAGAAGAAAAAAAAAACTGACTTCCATCATTTCTTCACCTGAAAAAAAAAAAAAAATTTAACAATCAACCAATTCGGAGAAAAGGATAGTTGTTATTTTAATGTAATGTAATTACATTTTTTTGTTGTTTATGAATGTGTAAGAAATATTTGTTGGTTTTGATGAGTATAGTTTAGAAAAGATTTACTGTTAATTTAATAGTTGTGTTAAATGATTATACATTGTTCTTGGATGATGGGTTTCGGTGTATGTTGAGAATTTTTGTGCAAATTGGATGATTTGTATTGTATGGTTGGATTATGAGAATTAGGGTTTTGGAGAGTTATTTTATAAAAGAATTGGTGATTTTTTTTTTGTTATTGTAGTATTAATTGAAAAAAAAAATATTTGTAGTTAAATAAAAAAATCTCACCTTCTTCGTCTTCTTCATTCCGCGCGGGTTCGCGGTCACGGCGTCTTCTCCCTCCACCAATGTGGGGCGCCGGTCTATGCCTCGCCCGCTGAGACTGTGTATGCTGGGGTGGGGCATACTCCTTTTGAGATAGAATTTGCTCCGATGACGCCCCTTGTGTGACCGACTGACCCCCAACAGTCAGAGAAGCGTACAGAAGTTCCTGGGCTTGCTGGAACTGTGACTGCGCTCGGGGAGGTAGCGTATCAATGTCTTCAATGTCCGATAGCATGTTATACGCCCCCTCCGTACCCGAATTCTGCAAAATAAAATTCAAATAACTATCAAATATTAAAAAATAATAATAATAATAATTACTTCAATAATAATAATAATAATAATAATAAAAATCACAAATTAGCAGACACTTACTTGACACTTCTCCCGGTCGGCATATGGCTGAAACCCGCCGTCCTGTGAGATCGCCGCGTAGTTGTTGGGGTCATTGAATAGTCTCACAGTCCTACTGTGATACCACTCAATGTACCCCTCTGCTCAGAGTCCTACTGCTCATTGAATAGTCTCACTGTCCTCCATCTTTGTACAGGGTTCACTTTTCCAGAGGAATTCTTAAGAGGTAATCGTATGCGTCCGGGTTACATTCATGGAGTTCCTGTCGACTCTGCTCAAATTTGCTGCGAGAACACAGTGAACCCAACCTCCAACACAAACCCCGGACTTTCTTATTCTGGTACCTTGAAAACACGTTGCTTCGGAGGTGTCGAAGGCATATCCGATGAAATGCATGGGGTTCGTGCCAAGTCTCCAGTAATTCAACGACACTCAATATGCCGTTGTCCCTGTCGGAAAGAAGACATATCGGTCTGTCGGGGACGACATGATGGTGCAGATGTGTTAGGAAAAAGGACCAGCTAGCCGTGCTTTCTTCGTCCACAATCACATACGCGACTGGCAATAGACGCTTATTCGCGGTCTGTGCTATGGCAACAAGCAGCTTTCCCTTGTACGAACCTGCTCAGTTGGACATATGTTTTTTTATCAGACTCTATTGTAAATTAGAAAATAAAATATTAATTTGCAATTAACAAGTAGTTTCCCCTTGTACGAACCTCGCAGGTGCGTGCCGTCGATGCTAATAATCGGCGGGCAACGAAGGAAAGTTTGAATGGCGTGGCCGAACGCCCAGAAGACAAATCTGAATTCTCTGTCTCGAGATTGCTTCGCAATTTCCCCACCCTGCCATTCCCACTCAACGATTGTACCGGGATTCGCCTTTTGAAGGGCGGCGAAAAACCTGCAAATTATAAAAGTTAACCATAAATAAATAAATAAATATAGTTACAAACAACATGTAAATACGTTTATAATTAATTTTTGCTTACTGGGGGAGTTGTGCGAAGTTCGATTCCCACGTGCCATGCAGACGATCAATGGCTTTTTTTCTCCCGTGCCACGCCTTCTTGTAGCTGACATCGACGCCTCAGGCACTTTTTACGTCGGCCTGGACCATTTTCACACTGTAGGTCACCTACTTCTGAATCTTAGCCAACAGAAGATTTGAGATCATGGTGGCGGTCACATTCTTGTGGTCATTTTTCTCGAACACCTGCATGCAAGTGTGGCTATTGGTCCATTCGGTTACCTCCCACATGTCGTGATCCCGTTTGTTAAGACTCACCCGAGCCTTCCATATACATGGTACAACTTCAGCTGATCTGCACACAACTTTGAACGACTTCTTGTTGGAATCTTTTGTCCGGACCGCCCTAAGATTCTCAACATTTTAGGCCATAATACCAGTCCGGGCTTCTTCCTTGGTACGAAAAACTGTACCCAAACGGATAGTGTCGGCACGCCCATCCCAGACTGGCAAGGCATACTCGTCCCTGTCTACACACGACGAGTCCCACTCACCCATCTCGCGATAATCGTAGAGGCCTTCATTTGGAAAGGGGTGTTCTTTAATGAATTCTTGTTCGCTCTCCTCATTAATTGATCT